CAGAGTTGTCGCTAATACCTAGAAATTCAACTGAAAAGTATAAAAAATAATATGATAAATTTGTACCTTTTTGATAGAAGAGAAAAATACGAATGGCGTTCAACTAGTGTCGCACAACAATACATTGAGGAGTCAGCAGCAAATAAGGTTAGAATCGCCAGGACAATTGTATCTCGGGGAGAGACGCCAAACACAGGCGAACCTTCAACACCTCACACTCTAAATGAAACAACAGTTTCTGGAAGTTCTGGACTTTGTTTTACGAATGTTTCGAACAGCACATTTCATTTTCATTATTAATAATTGTTTTTTGAGTAATGATTAGTTAATTTATGTTTCATGTTGTTTCTTTTGTCGATTTGTTATTATTGTTTTCTGTGTTACGAGTAAATAAAAATGCCACACTCCCCACAATTGTTTGATGACAATGTTATTTTATTGAATTTGTTTCAGAATCCTGCTGTTTCTGTACGATTTGCGATCCCATAAGAGATTGTGTATAATGTTGGTATATAAAATACATTATTAAAATTAAATGGGATAATAAACAATAGCCCAATAGAGGTTCAATAATAGTTATGTGCATTGGCATCGTAATAAGAAATTACAATTCGAATGTCTCACACATTTTTGATCACTTTGTAAAAATTCAAATGTACAGTACAAATGTACAGACTGATATAGCAGAAGGAGGAAGTCACGTATTTAGAACACTTTTATTTTAATATTACATTACGAATCCGATAAAATGTCATTAAGCCATAGATTACTTGTGTGCTGATAACTCTTATGACGACACTGATCTTGTTTCATAAACTCTGGCTTCAGAAACCAACGTGAATACAAAATTAAAAACACGGCTCATCTGAAGGACATTTGAATATCACGCGACGGCGGGCTGGTCTTATTAGCATAGACATGCAGATAAATGATTACAGTACTAAATACGCTTTAACACAGTCGCTTCCTGTATTTTTCCTAGTGAAATAATAATTATAAATTATGCCATAAGAGATAATTATATCTTATTACATCGTTTTGAGTATTAATTATCCTTATTTGACCTCAGTATTTGTGTTGGCCAGTAAGAAAGATACGGTTCTAAGCTGATGTTTCTAAGTGTCAAAAGTTAACCCGATTTCACAGTTCCCTCTGTGTTTAGTAGACTGCTTCATGCTCATTGAGCCGTTGTTTTTTATTGGCCCAACACTAGAAGAAGCTACTGTGACAAGTCAATATAAAGTAATAAACGGTAACTGCGTTACAAGTCTATTTCTTCATTACTGTTGTGAAAATGTTTATGAGTTCTTATGATTTTTAATTGCTAATCTTTATGGATTTGTTGACTATTAGGAAGAAATAACCGCCCTTCTCATTTCGACTAACATAATCATTCGAATCAGAGAGCCGTACTACTTGTTCGGCTCTCGAATTCGTGGCTCAATTCAGCACGGCCCATTCACAACTTCGTAACTGTGGGTTTTTTGTTAACCTGAATCTCTACATTTTTTGCTTTACAATTTTCATTCTACTCTGCGGAGCAAATGTGATTTTTATTCCGCACATTTAGACTTTCCGTCTGGTTTTACGATTCAAGTGTTTAGTACCAAACTGTGCAAATGTATAATTCAGGGAAAATCTTAATACCACAATATTCAGTTAGCGATAACGCTGACATTTAGTTAACGGTAGTTCGTAGATGAAGTGTAGCGTGGCGTGGTGTAGGTGAAGGCCACTTGCCTCTTCGGAGTGTATTGGTTGATGGATTGATTAGTGTTTCCGCGCGTCACTGCTATGGTCGCTAGTCCCGTATGAGTAGTTAGTATACGTTTTATTGCGGGACGTGGCGGTGATATTCCCCCGCTGGATGGCGAGAACTGGCGTTGACCAACATGTCGTCCTAACATGTATCCCTCACCAGCGGGGTATCGCCCTAGCCGGAACAAACTCTAAACTTCTGACTGGTATCCTGGTAGGTGTGGTGGTGTAGTGTATGTAAGTGTAAGTGTGAGTGAGTAAGGAATGAGGATATTTTCGTATGGAGCCATTATTCGCCGCCTCTCGCTTGCGCATGTACACCCCTCACTGGATTTGGAGGGGAAATGAGTGCGGAGTGAGGGGAAGTTGCCTGTGCCCTTAGGAGCGCCGGGCTTCCCAGGCGGGCAAGTAGATCGAGCGGGCGCGGTTTGACGTGCCTAATACATCCCGAACAAGTTTTACGTTCCTACCGCTGCAAAACCAGTGTCGCATTCCTATTCATTTTCCTCTTGCTGTTTTGATGGCGCAGGTGGTAAGATGATAGGCATCCAAGACGCCCTTGGACTTGGGCCGCGGTGCAATTGGACGAAGGGTCCGCAGCGCAACAGTACATTCCTTCTTCCCATCCATCTAGAGTATTGTCTATGAATATCCACGTGTGCCAACGGAAATGGATAAAATTACTATTGTAAAATAGCAAACTAAAAGGCGCTGAATGTAATAAATAAACCCCTCTCCAAATGATATCAACTGACAAAAATGACAATAAGGTGACGCAAAGTATAATACATAAAATTACCCAAAACAGTACATCTGCAGAAGAGAATAATAAAAATATAGGGAATGAATTTCCATCTCAAGCATTAAAGCTACCGAGAAATGTTTACAGTAAAAAGACAATGAGAATAGGCGATAAACTTCAAAATTAACACAATTGAGTTGAAGGGGATAAAAATGTGACACAATTATGATTGTCACTTAAATATTAACAATTCACACGAGTATCCTTTCGTTTGATCATTGTGTGTCAAAGATTAATCTTGAATATTTTCTGGGTTCATTATCCAAAATGGCATGGTTGTCAAAACTAAAAGAAAGAGTAAAATCAAGGCGATGTCAAGAAAATGAGTTCAATTATGTGCCAATTTCCTTAATGTTATTAACATGTTCTGTCTCCTACGTGGGACAGTCAGAACATACTCTCAAACAAAGAATAATAGAGCATCGAATATTGATCCTCCTCGCACGTTTCCTTGATACTCGTGGTCGGAGGAGGGCTCGGCCTACTGCATCACCGCAAGTGTCCTGCGGCGCCAGTCGAACCCCCGGCCTCGGAAGTCTGCGACTCGACCCTCACTAGTTGACTGTTGCTGCGCGTTCATTGTCGTGTCGGTTTCCTTTCCCTTTTCTTTACTTGTCAATGGCGACGGCTATTCACGCGGACATTACGCATGAGTACCTATCTGGATGCGTTCTGAGAAAGATCGAGGAAAGAAAGAAAACAATGGAGTTGGTGCTGTATGCCGTAGGTGTGCGGGGTGGGTACAAGGGTAGGAGCCCTCCAGGAAGTGTAACAGTCCCTGCCAGCTTTGTCATCGTATGCAACTTGTACTCTTTTACAAGAGATAAAATAAACAACAATATGTTTGCCGACTCAAACAATAAGAGCCGATAAGGTATGCAACACGGGGGGGCGCTCGTTCAAGTCGCATTTATACATACTTGCAGGTATTGATACCACTAGGTTATGGAATGCTTGGCTTTCATGTCTAACATGTATCACCACTTAAATTTCTCGTACACCATTCAGAGTAATATACGTAGTATAGAGAAAAATAATGGTACGGATTTTTTTTTGAGATGTTGACGGAAATGAATTACAAAAGCGAGTCTAATTGCCTTATAAATTTAGCGAAAAAACTACTAATTTAATCCAACAATCGAAACTCGAACAACATTTTGTATCACCGCCATCTATACAACACATTCTTCAGTTTTCCAATTATTTGTTTGCATTGCCTGCTTATCTAAAAATACTAGTCTTCCGTACAGCCTAGTACAAGTACGATGAAACTCGTTATTTTTCTTCATACCCCACGCTAGATCGATCTACGTCAACGTGTGTGCCCAGTGGGTCCCACCATTAATTTCCCACCACGGAGCACACAGCTATTTACAGCCTACACCTTTTGTAACCTACAGGCCAGTCTCAACGACTTCTCGCAGCGTATAGTTCTCGTAAGTTGATAAGCTTATAAGATAATAGTAATTATTATGCACATTTCAAATATTTTCATCGAATGACAAGCTTTGAAGAAGATGCACGAAGCGTATCCAGAAAGAAAGTTGACTTATTTTAAACAAGGACTTAAATAAAAACTTTTAAATAAAAACTTGCTTTCTGAATGCACCTCGAATGTGTAATAATTGTACCTAGAACATACACTATGAGATCAAAAGTATTCGGATACGTCCAAAATGGTGATATGGGGTGGTAGTGTGGGAGAGAGATAGCACCCCTTGTTTTGTGTGGCACTATCACCGCACAGGCCTACGTTGATGTTTTAAACACCTTCTTCCTTCCCACTGTTGAAGAGCAATTCGGGGATGGCGATTGTAACTTTCAACACGATCCAGTACCTGTTCATACTGCACGGCCTGTGTACAAGTGGTTACATCACAATAACTTCCCTGTAGTGGACTGGCCTGCACAGAGTCCTCACTTGAATCCTATCAAACACCTTTGGGATGTTTTGGAACGCCGATTTCGCGCCAGGCATCACCGACCAAAATCGATAACTCTCCTCAGTGCGACACTCCGTGAAGAACGGACTGTCATTCCCCAAGAAACCTTCCAGCATCCGATTGACAGTGAGCCTATGAGAGTTGTAGCTGTCATCAAGGCTAGGGGTGGGCCAATGCCCTATTGAATTCCAGCATTACTGATGGAGGGTGCCACGAACCGGTAAGTCACTTTCAGCCATGTACGAATACTTTGGATCACATAGTGTAAGCTGATATGTATTTATTTAACAACGGTTTAAAATATTTTTATTGAAAATCAATGACCCTTCCGCGATAAAACACGCACTACACTTACGGGACCAATGGCCTTAGCAGTTGACACGCCAGGACTCATCAATTAATCAATAGATCTAGTATAAAATGTTGTGCTCATGTACATTTTATACAAATATTTTTTACATATTTTATCTGCAATTGAACGCCGGCCTGGGCGCGAGGAGCTGGTCCTACCTTGGCGAGTGCCACGAGGCCGCCGGGGCCGCCTTGTGCTCCGTGGAGGCCGTGACGAGGGCGAAGGCGCCGCCGGGCAGCGTGCACCAGCGGCGCACCAGCAGAAACTCACGCTTCGCCACCAGTCCGCCCAGGCGCGGCGCCGACACCTGCAGCTGCACGTCCGACGCCCCCGCGCGGCCCTCGTCCAGCGACTGCAACGCGCAGCCATTGGGAGGAAGTGGCAATTACCAAAAAACGGCAGTAGATCAAAGCGCCAGAGGAAGCAAGAGCTGGTGGAAGGAAGAGCGAGTGGAAGGGATCGTCAGTGGAAGTGCCAATCACCCTACCCATCCTATCCCCAAAATTGAGACGATGTAAATCCACGAGTTGTTGGTTCCGTAATAATTTCTCCCTCCATTCTGGGAAAACGCGTTGCATTGCAGCAATCAATCTTTCGGTTCAAGGCGTATTTAATTAACAAAAATTTGTTACATACATCTCTCCATTTAGAATAAAAATATATTATATTGTTATCATTATACTTGTTATAAAAACAAATGTTCATTGTGTAGAATGATATGAATTTTTAAAAGTTAAAAATACATTATTGTATTACGTGCCACCGGGTTTTACAGATACACATTCAAATCACCAGCACATCCCTAACTTGGGCAGCAATGGCGGGGATTTCTTAGATGGCTTCACGGACTCCCAGGGATTCTTCCTAATTTAGACTTCTGTGTTTGTCACCGACTGGAACCAACACATTAACGGTCTTAGTCAAATTATCCGTTTCTTGCATCATTCCTTAACTGAGTATAACAGGATTAGGACGAAAAATGTCAATTTAATTATACCGGGCTCCTGTTGTAGTTCTTTTAGGAGGATGCCAATAGTGTGGCACACACTGAGGGTATTGAACCCTCGATCTCCCAATCAACGGATCCTTTGGTCGCCGGCGTTGCTTCAGCGCCTATCACACCTACGCTGATAATCAATTGAATGAGATAATGAACGCAGTTACAGAGCGGTGGTTATTGAGGCTACCTGCAGTGAGGTGGTATCTGCAAGCAGCCAGCTAGCTTTTGTGCAGTCCCCACGCAACGTCTCCCACACGCGCTTGGGCGTGCAGCCCGGCAGCGTCGCCTGCGAACACACACGCACACAAAAACATGAACTTACACATGCTTTTTCTTCTTACTCGACCACATAGGAAATAGCCAGTTCACTAATACTAAATGATGATATTTCTTTATAACTTTATGCGTTTGTAATGTGCTTGTAGAATTGTTAGAGTATGTGTGTGTATTTGAGCACGTTAGTTTATTTTTGGGATACATGCAGGGAGATGGAAATTTGTCTGAGTTCTGCATCCGAATATCGACCCATCTTCCTTTGAAGCCAACTACCCAGTGTGGGTGTAGGGGATCTTAGTAGGCTCGCATCTTAGGTTTCCTTTGAGACACCTCTCACATCCTCAGTTAATGTTGTCCGAATTGTCTGATTATTAATACGTGCATCTTGTTGGGACTAGAAGAACAGGACGGACTTATTTTGCCTGGCACCAGTTAGGGTTACAGTTAGATATATGCCAGTTGCACACATGCCAAAAGGGTGCAGCGGCACACTGAGGATTTTTATGCATGTAGAAAAGTCACCTTTTTCAGATCGGTCTGAAATCGGTAATTTGATTATCAGAAGGCAGAGCGTTAGAGCCCAACCCTCTGGAAACCGTGTAGGGGTGAAGTAAAAAATCACGTTACACAAGACGCAAAAGCCTCTCTGAAAGTTCCCTTGAAAGTCAAATGGAGAGTCTAATTCTGTTTTGGCTAATCCATAAAAGGAAAGAGGTGAATTAATACACAAGCTTAGGGCCCTCACTGGATGAGGGCCCCGATATTTTGTCAACAAAATAAGTTCATAAATTGTTTTCATAAATACGTGAAAATAATTGTTAAATGTTACCGATACACAAAAATAATACGTTTAAATTTTATCGTTTTCAATGTATATTTTTTAATTAGTCCTGAAAATGAGGTGGAAAATTGTTTTAAAATACATTAAATACCAAATTTGTAAATTAAAATGTTACAGTTGTATTTTTCATTGGTTCTGGACACAGATTCAATATTTCAAGATTTTAAGGGCCCATTATTTGGTCACCCTTACGACAGTGTAATCGACCTTCGCTGGCTACACAGAGTGCCTGTCCTGGCAGAGCTTTCTCGCAATGTCTCCATTTTGTAATATTACTTTTGTAGCATTAAATGAATGTATTGCTGCGCACTTCAGGCAATCCCTGTCACCTCGCTTCTAAGAGGTTACAAACATTAAGCATAAATTGTTCCTACCATGTCTAGAAATAATCTGCTACATCCTCCTATGACCTTGCGTCGTTACTGAAGATTAATATGCGAATGATAACGTTCATATTGTTTATGTTATCTTACAAGTTAAGAAACGTACGTGCGTGTGTCGCGGACTTTATTCTTGTTTATGTAAGTAGTTGGGACCGAGCATGAAATGTCTAACTGCGTAAGTAGTACCGTAAGAGTATCGCAGTTTGTGATAATACTACAATTATTCAGTGTATCTTAAATGTGTGGGTAGGAAATGTTCTTGTGATAGTAAATAGATTTTATGCTTTCAATTGTTACTAGACAACGAAGAATTATTTTGATGCGTTAAAGGCTTCGCAGCTCTTAAGAAATATTTCCGTAGTACTCATTAAATTCTGGAAAGCGATTCGGCACATGAAAGTTGTTTCCTAAAGTGGAACTCAAGAGATTAGGTACAAATAGACGCAGCAAACGCTATCATAATCATCAAAATGAACTACCACCAATGAATTACATGCGCCATAAGGATATACAAATAACGTATGTATTAATCCTATCTCTAAAATCACAATCAGGAGCGGACAATGACCTGCATTTAAAACTTTATATCTTTTTCTCTTTAACACGTTCTTTTGTTTGCAGGTGATCAAGTTTTGACAGCTCAAGATATGGAAGACATAGAATACATCCGTCACAAATTGAAAGAAGAATATTACGGATATTATTTACTTTTTTAAAGACTGAACATTACTGATTCCATGAGCACGGTCAAGGACATTCCAGTACGTACAGCACGACAAGGAATAAATGAAACCGGTTGTAGAAAATTATACGAGTAAAACTAGTTTGCTTCAAATGTAATTGATTCACTTAACTATTAAAGTTGTGAAACCGGTTGAAAAAAACCCATTGTGTTCTTCAGACTATAAAAGCAGATAAAATTTCACATTGAAGAAGAGTAACAGTATAGTTATAACAATTTACTATTCTGCAATAATTCAAACTCATGCTATTCCAATAAGTATTTAAATTATTTCTGGTAATCAACATAAACGGGATGAAAATGCATCGTATATTTCAGATAATAAGTGGAAAATCTATTAATACATAGAAATTCCAGTCTCTTTGAGAATTCAAGGAGATATGACAGTTTGTCACAATTGCGGTCGTGTGGTCCCGCCGAAGAGTTAAGATCGTTATTGAGTTAGATCCAACACTTGCCTAACAAATTAATCAGGCTAATTTTTTAAGAACGTACTAGAAAATTTTATTAGTTTATTGAACAAAAAACTGAACAAAATACAATTGAATTGAAGAAATTTGATGTGGTTTTAATTACAATAAATTTAAGATGACAGTTGCATTTTTCTGAAATATCAATTTTAGATTTGCAGATCATTCAAACTAATATTAAGGTATCACCGATTTCACTCACGGGCAGTTATTCTACAACACAAAATTTAAGTCTTTATAACTTGGAAAAGGGAATTTTATAGCTGATAAACGCTTTGCGTTGCCAGAATCAAATTTGTAGAACTTAGTTTAGTACACAAAGCTCGATTATAATCAAGGGGGAAGAGCTAAGAACAGAAGTGAGTGTTTGAAGAGTTTGTGAGAAGAGAGTGTTTGAAGAACACTCATTTACTTTTTAACTAGATTAAATAAAAAAAAATTTAACTGCGAAACTTAAGAGGCGGGCTTGGCGGAAAGATCCCCTACACCCTCCGAAGGTTCAAAGGAAGCCTGAAACAAAAATACGGTTGCGAAACATGTCCTAAAGAACATTTCTAAGCAAGTATTCTGAATGCGATTTGTCGGTGAACTACAATCCTGACGCATTTAAAAACAAGGTGTCGTACAAATCTTAACCTTCTCTTCCATATTTTGCTCGAAATTTGTTCAATGTTTTTGTAAAACCTCTGTCGCTATTTATGTAACTAAATATTACTTTATTTTAAGTGACTATGTATCACTCAAGTGTTTTCTCTTCTTTCCCAATCGGAAATGTTACTTCATTATTTAAATGAAGCAATGTCGTTCATTCTATATTGTGATGCCAGAGCATAAGCATTGTACCAGTGCTTTCCCCGGAATGGTTGCATGATTTGATGGATAGGAGTTTACAAAGATTTGATAAAAATGATGATGGATCACTGATGGAATGGGAGAGAAAGAAACTAGAGAACCCTGCAAGAGCTTGCCGCGAATCCGCTTTGGTATGTCCATCACAAATACTACACGGATGAACTGAGATTTGAACTCAGCTCCAAGGTGTGAAAGGCGACCTCGGATCCGTCAAATATATATTTAGAAAATACACATAACAAGTAAACATTTTATAAATAGAGTGCCCAATAGGTTAATGCAGTAGAACAGGTTAATACATTAAAACTCCTTGAGTTTCTCTGCAACAGGAACGGCTTTTCTCATGTTATAATCATTCTCCTGCAAAAATTACAATACTTATCACACGCCTCTTTTTGTATACACCGAAGCGATTAAGCATTTTTTCCTAATACTGCACTTGTATACCAACTTAACCAAACTGAGGTCCGGAAAGACACATATAACAGTCCGAGTCTGTTACGGATATTACAGACCGCCATCCGTTAAGTAAGATCAAACAAATGAGTGATATATTGCTTGAGATAGCGTGTGAGCACTCCTTTTCGCAGAGAAGGTATCTTTTATTTATATAACGATGTTTTAAGAAAGTGGTATAACGAATGAAGGTTACACGACCTATCTCACAAATAACAGACTTGGTTGATTATAAAAATCTGTTTTCTCCCCGAGTTTACTAATTTCAACCAATTCTTTTATTTGCCCTCACGACGTTAATAAATATTTTGGTAACATTGTACCGTTATAAAAACTTAACGCAGAGGAACTAAAAGCCAGTCTTAAGGGCCGGTGTTCATTAAGGAATTAACAATCCGCCATCCGCTAAGATCAGTCGAAGCGGATGAGCTATATGGGATTTGCTTCGGTTTAAAAACTTTAACCGCAACCGTTAAATGCTCTACATTAAGCTAATGGTGATAAGTATTTGGTAAACTTATACTGTTATATGAACATAATCATTAGAATGAAAAGCGACACTTAACATACGGCGTTCGTTAGAGATTGTACAGTCCACCGTCCGTTAAGAATAATCACAACAAATAAACTATGAAAACTTTCGTCTTGGTTTACAATCTCCACACGCGTCCGTTATTTGCTCCATAACGGCTTAACTAACTCTTTCAGCAGCTGCGAAACCACTCACAGTGAGGCGAAAGATCTTCCCAGAGCGGCCGGGCAGGTGGCAGCTCTCGACGACGGCGTCGGCGTCGGCGCTGGCGGCGCGCGCCTCGAACTGCCAGGGCCCCGCGCGCCGCAGCCGCTCCAGCGCCGCCGCCAACGTCTCGCGGCTCCGCGCGCTCAGCAGCGCCGCGCCTCCCGCCGGCCCCGCCTCCTCCGTCTCCGCCTCGGCCTCCGCCGCCTCGCGCGCAACCTGCCACCAATGATGCACGGATTGATTCCATCATGGTTTCTTGGGTGCTTTTTATTGATTGATTAGTGATTCCAGGCACGCAAACTGCTAAGGTCATTAGTACCGTTAGTGAAGTGCATGCTTTTTTATCAAGGGAGGTGGCGGTGATCTTCCCCCGCTGGATGGTGAGATCCGGTGGCGACCTACATGCCGGCCTGCGGGAATTTTCCTCATCCAAGTACCTGCCATCAGGAGAGCACCAGGAGAGCGGGTCAAGTTCTAAGCTTCCGACCGGTCTCCCGGAATGTCTGATAGTGAAGTGCATGTAAGGGGTGAGGATAGAACAATGAAAAGATCGTCCGGGGGCCGTTTGTTACGGTACTGCTCCCACATTCACCGGGAGTTGATCAGAAATTCGGATCGGATCAGGAATTGGATCACACGTGAAATATCTGATATTATTTATGGTTTTTTTTATTGCAAAGAATATTCGTATCATTCGCAAATATAACTCTTCTTACGATACTAATCGACAAGGGCATATCGTTAATGTATATTAGGAAGAGAATAGGGTCTAAAATCCATCCTTGCGGGACTCCACATGCAACTGACAAAGAATCGGAAAGGTGTGTACATAATTTTCCATTATTCCAGTAAAGGGCCATTCATAAATTGAGGCTTTTAGGGGGGAAGAGGTCAAGGCGAATCTCACCTAATATACGTGGCGGAGAGGGCAGTCGCGCCGAACATCACGTATTTTTCGCTAAAAACTGCTAAATTGCGAGGAAACTGTGACAAGTTAAGTAAAAAACGCTTCTGTACTAGTAGATGCACATTTTTTTCGCGGTTATGTGAATGCTACACTAAGTAGCATAGTTTACTAAGAAAAATATTCTTAAAAAATTACCAAACTTTTCATCATTAATGAGATAAATCTCATTACATGTATTTTTAAAGAAATTTTAAAGAAAAAGCACTGAGAATGAATTATTGCACTATGTTTAGAACTCACTCTATTTTCTAAATACTCGTCATATCTGGAATAAAAAATAATTAGTCAAATTTTTTCTTTAAATAAACCCCAATGCAATCAATCAGTGGCGGCTCGTGCTTGGATTGCACAATTGCACGAACTCCAGATCTAATGGAAAAAGATCTCTTAATATTTTAGGAATATACATTTTCCTTTTAATGACTCAAGATATTGCAGCAATATCGATGTATATGAAATAATTTTGAAATCAAAGAACGTAACTGCCACTCTCTGAGGGGGCCTGGGGCATTGCCAGGTAGTGCACCACGCTCTTGGATCTTGGCTGTATTACTGGGTTTACTGCATTTACTCTTTAGGCCTTCGATTTAACACAGGCAACATAGGGCCTGTTGGTTGGGCAACCAAACGGGTGACGCTGTGTAGCACTGCGCGGTGACGGAGGTAGTCTCAGGGCAATACCAAAATTCTATCTTCGTCTGACTCGCCGCAACGTAATTTTATGAATTTCGTTTCTTATTGAAAGTACACGAATTCAATTGATTATTGAAGGTTTAATGCATTATTAATTATGTTTAGAGAATTTGTTTTCATATGATATTAGATTTACTGATTTAAAGTATATACTTGATGTGAACATGATGTGGACATTTCTTTGTGAAAAGTTTTCCGATCTGGAAGAAAATCACTTTCTCGGTAGATGCAGCAGGTTGCAGTTACACCACGGAGAACGCTGGTGAATTATGAACGTGTGTATGGAAAGATCTTTGTTACAAAATATACCAGGGTAGTGATATTTTCGAAATAAAATAATTTTATTTGTGCAAAACGTGTCGAAGCAATAATGTTTGATGCAATGTGGTGGAGACGAACTTAAGTGTTCAGTGGAAATCAAAACCAGAACCACTTGCGAGGCAGATGTGTTATACAAGTATACCTAACTCTTTCACGACGCATGAAATTATGTAAGTAATCATTCAATATAGACTTTGATTTAACTTAGTTTTAATTAATTTGAATTACTTACATTTTTATTATATTTTACTATTTTGAATTTTGAAAATTACATTTCCGTCATTCGATGAAGGTGCAACCTCCAGTCTGTTGGGGCACCAGCCGCCACTGCAATCAATTTCAAATTAACTTATTTACATTAAAATTACGCATTTTTAAAATCTCACGTGAAATTAGAAGGGTAAAAAAGAATGTGGTGCAATTCGAAACCAGTAAATATTGTCAGTAAGTTATCTTCACAGGGGAAAATTTTTTTGGTGTTTCGTTAATCTGAAAATGTAATCAAGAATGTGGTGCAATTCGAAACCGATAAATATTCCCAGTAAGTTATCTTCACACTTGTTTGATAATTGTTTACGACTTTATGACTTGTTAAAACGTGTTTTTCAAGTACTTGCATAAGAAAATGGTGATAATAACAATTTATGAACCTTGGCTACAGAGGAATTTTACAACTGCCTACAAAAAACTCTTGACGAAATAAATAAAAATGATTATATTGTCATATGTGGAGATCTCAATGGCAGAATTGGAAATGCATCTATGGATAAGATAATTGGTCCCAATAACGAAGATATTCTGAATAAAAATGGACGCAAACTAAGAGTTTTTGCATGTTTTAACAATATGAAAATAATGAACACTTTCTATAAGCATAAACGTATTCACAAGATGA